GAAATCTGAAATGTCAGTTTTCTGAGAAAAACAAGATTGCCAGAGAGTAATGATAGAAGGGAATAATAAAATAGTTGGCTGGCCTCCCACACAGCTTGTATTTCTTCCCGCTTATATTTTATTAATTTTATCATAGTTTGGCCCTTGCAATTTAGATCGGAGTGATTTTTAAAAAGCCACCTTTTGGCTTTTTTTTTTTTTTTTAAAAAAAAGAACCAACAGCCCCAAAGTAGTTTATCAAATTAAAAAAAAAAAACAGAAAGTGTTTCTTAACAAAAGGGTAATCATATCTTTAAAAAAAATAACAAAAGGTTTTTAGAACAATAAAATTGTCTCTGTTCAAGAGACTTTTGTTTTTCTCTGTCCCCCTCTCTGTGTCAGAAATTTAGATATAATAATAATAATAATAATAATAATAATAATAATAATAATAATAATAATAATAATAATTTAAAAAATTGGAAGGGACCTTGGAGGCCATCTAGTCCAACCCCTGTGCAGGCAGGAAACCCTATACCATTTCTGACAAATGGCTGTCCAGTCTCTTCTTAAAAACTTCCAGTGTTGGAGTATTCACCGCTTCTGGAGGCAGGTTGTTCCACTGGCTAATTGTTCTAACTGTCAGGAAGTTTCTCCTTAGTTCTAGGTTGCTTCTTTCTTTGATTAGTTTCCACCCGGTGCTTCTCGTCCTGCCCTCAGGCGCTTTGGAGAATAGCTTGACTCCCTCTTCTTTGTGGCAGCCCCTGAGATATTGGAAGACTGCTATCATGTCCCCCCTCGTCCTTCTCTTCATTAAACTAGACATACCCAATTCCAGCAGCCGTTCCTTATATGCTTTAGCCTCTAATCATCTTTGTTGCTCTTCTCTGTACTCTTTCTAGACTCTCAACATCTTTTTTACATCGTGGTGACCAAAACTGGATGCAGTATTCCACGTGTGGCCTTACCAAGGCATTGTAAAGTGGTATTAACACTTCACGTGATCTTGATTCTATCCCTCTGTTAACGCAGCCCAGCACTGTGTTGGCTTTTTTGGCAGCTGCAACACACTGCTGGCTCATATTTAAGTGATTTTCAAGTCTTCAACATAGGGGCCTCAAACATTTATGGTACAAAAAGAAGCCTCAATTAAACTTTTTCAGGAATGTTTCACAACATTCCTATGTTTTAAAAATAAATTTCTTGGGTGCAAAGATTCATTTAATTTCCTTCCATATAAGACCTGAAATGATAAATGTGCTTTATGTGTTATCTTCAGTATAGACTAGAATATACTTTTGTTCAGTATCTTTTGGCTGAGATGTTTAGTAAAGATACCACATGTCTAAAAATATTATATAAAGTCCCTTTGAGCCATTATATTCCAAGGCTGGGCTAGGCCCTTGTGCTTTGTCATATCACTTGATGTCTGTTTTTCATGTTCAGCAACTGTCCACTTATAAGCTAAAATAGGCTCAGAATGTCTGCGCTTTTAGCACAAACATATAATAATGTCTACACATTTTTCCTGCTGGAAGGAGATTTTCTACAAGTTTTTTAAAAGCAGCATTTCTTCTTAACGGTTATATGGTAGAAACACCATTACCAATAGGATGAAATTCATAGACTGTATTGCACCATGATGTTTTTCCATGAAATTCAACAGAAGCCCATCAGAAGCCAAGGAAACTGCGAATTGTGGAAGTAAGAAGTGAGCATTCTCACCCATACCTCTTGGCAGTATTGTAAGTAAATAAGTACAAGAACAGTAGAATGATTCCACCTCAGGAGAATTTCTCAAAAATTCTCCTGTGGACATTTTCTTAATCAAATTCTCTTTCATCAAACTGAGTAACAGAAGATAGGAAAACAAAGAAACAAGAGAATTTAACTGCCTGCCATTTAGCTACTCTAACCTTTATCAAACGTTATCCAACTAATAAGCTATTACATGTTATAAAGATAAGATTTGGAGATCTGGATAAATCAATATTCATGTGTTACTTAATGTTTGACCCTTTTATGGCCTTAATTTTAGGATTCACTTTGGTACTTGACTAGAATAAAATTGCATCAAACAGGTTAATAGCTGAAAAAAGCTTCTTCTGCACTCACCCACTAACCACATGTCCTCCCATCTTCACCTCCCCACCACACATATGCTGAGCCTCTCCATGAATGTTGGCTGGGAACTAAAGAATTATGGGTGCCAGGTCATCTGGGGAATGCCAAGTTGGGAAAGACTGAGCAAAATAAATGGAGAGGGAAAAAAAAAACAGCCCTCTTCTCAGAGAAATGAACTGGGCCTTGTCCAGAACTTCCCAAGATATTAGGGTCAGCATTTTTTTTTTAATTATCATATTACACGATAATCCTAACCCATATGACATTGATTTCCAGGATTCTTCTGATTTAAAATGAAACTTTCTTGGAACACATGATGCCTGATAAGTCCACAGGGAGTTAAAATGCTGCAAAAATTGATAATACTATTTGGGAGATGAGATGTCTGTAAATGTCATCATCGCAGGGTGTCAAGTGCAGGAATTTCACTTTTGTAAGTACAGTTGTGGGAGGAAAAGTCTTCTTTTTAACCATAAGACACAATGTCCAAAGGAACAGCTCCAGATAACCATCACCTAGCAACCATCTGTACTGACATGCAATAACCTTCAGGAAACCATGCAGAAAAACAAAGCCTTTTTGTGCAGAAATCTGTAAGAGGACAGGTTGGGACTGTTTCTTAATTCAGATGCCAAGCTAAAGCCTAAACTAAATAACTTTTGGAAAACTGGATCTTGATGCGAAAATCATCCCATTAATTGATGCCCAAGACTAAAGAGCCCTAGAGTATCTCATTTCCTCTAACACGTTTACAATGGAATTATGTGATATATACAGGCCAACTCATTCACTCCTCATGATACCTATATTGGCAAGAATAGCCCCAGATACTTGATTGAATTAGATGTAAAAAAGGCTTTAGTTATACAGGGACAGACTATTTGCAGTCATCTTCTTTTTCAATGTGGCATTAAGCCTGTTTAGTATGACTCTTTACTTTAGACTGCTGACCTGTTTTCCAGATATTTGGCAGATCAAATCACATTTGTTTCACACTAGCCATTATTTGGACAGGGCTAATAAGATGACTAAGACAACAACATAAAAAGTCATCCGTGGAGTCTCCAGAACAATTCTCAATAGCAATAGCCAAACCTTTGAGCTGAATCCACACTCCACTTGACTTCTTTGTGCAGCCATTATGTGACTGTGTGATTGGACTCAAGATGTGGTTAATACTTCTTTTGGAGAAGATGTGGTACCAACCATTTGCTTGATGCACTTTCTGCTGAAGAAGCCCTGCCTTGGCCCAACCACATTAGACAGTTTTCTGCTGACCTACAATCTCTTCTTTGAGCAGGTTGTAGGGGCAGAATTCGGAAGATGACAGTGAAGCACAGATTCCTACATAAAAGTAGATTATCTGGATTCCTTTCAGATCTGGAAAAGAGACTGAAACAGCACTGGTCACTAATGGATGACTTTCGTGGCCCCTAGATGGGACACATCCTATTAAGTCCAGTCCTATTAAACCTCTCAGCAATATTTGATACCACCAACAATTAAGGCAATGGTAAAACCATCACTGAGTGAAATGGTACTGCCATCCTCCTCAAAAGTGGCAATGGTGTAACTCCTTTCACCATTTGACTCAAATATGCCTCCATTCTTCCATTTTGAATTTGGCTAGATTTTTGCTATACGGTGCCTGTTTTCATGGCCACATATTCTCCAATTGTAGCTATTGTATTTTCTGTTGTATTAATCCGTGTTACAGAGCGGTACTTGTATTTATAATTGGAATTGCCTATAAGATCTCCAAAATTGAGTGAGTGAGTGAGTGAGTGAATGAGTGAAAGAGTGAGAGAAAGTGAGTGAGTGAATGTATCTTCTGAATCTCCTGCAAAGGTTGAGATTGGGAGACACTATTTTATGATAGTTCCACTCTTTCTTGACTGAGCATTTCCAATCAATAGTTAACGGCGAAAAACAGCAAACTTCTGGTTTCTTTATTGTGAATTCTATAGGACTCAGCTCTTTCCCCCCTCCCCTTGTGTGATTTAATGCTCAGACTTCGGAATGCTCATTGCTTTAAAAATTGTTGCTCTCATTGTTGGTCTAAGAATTCACTGTCATCTTCATGCAATTTAGCTTCAGCAGTACACGAAACTGTTAGGTGATATTATTCATTGATTGGGGTGAGGTATTATCAATATGCTGATGATACCCAATTATACATTGTCACTGTGAGCTCAGCTGGAGATGTACTGGGGGTCTTTATTGATGTCTGGAGGCTATGAAACTAAGATTGGGTACAATTCTTACATAATTATTTTGGCTTGATCTTGGCTCCTCCTGATTCTGGATGGGATCATCCTACCCCAGAAGGAGGTCTGTAAATGGGGAGGGGTTCCTCTCAGATTTATGGCCCTAATTCCTCAAGAGGTGGAAGCAACAGGCAAGCTGGTGCACTAGCTGTAGCCCTAGGAACAGCAAGACCTGACAACAGTAACAGTAACACATGTCCCTTTATCATCTCAAGGATAGACTTGCAGTCATCTTTGAAGACCATCTAGAAACTAGAAGTGGCCAGAAATGCAATTGCTGGGGAATGAGAGATGCCTTATCAGAATAATACCTTCCTTTCAGCAGTTGCACTGGTTGTACAACATAAGGCTGAAGCTCATACCATCACAAGAGAAAAATGGTATTCAAGTTGTAAAATAACTTGTAAGCTTTAGAACATGGGTCTTTAAACTTGGCAACTTTAAGACTTACGGACTTCAACTCCCAGAATTCCTCAGTGAGCCAGGACTGGCTGAGGAATTCTGGGAGTTGAAGTCCATAAGTCTTAAAGTTGCCAAGTTTGAAGACCACTGCTTTAGAAAATCATTAGGAATTGAAATACGTGATAAATTGAATTCATGGCCTTTTCTCTCTCCCACTCTTTTCCCTAGAAAGAATACTCTCCTCAGTCCAATGGTCACCAGAAAAATAGAAAACATCTTACCAGTCACAAAGGTGAGTCTCTGAGGTAATACAAATCCTAATGAGGAAGACTATAACAATATTCAGGCTGAAATTCTTGCATAATGTTGGGTTCTGGCAGCAGAGAAATATGAGATACAAATAAATATTTCCCCCAGATCTCTCCCAAGGAAGAATCATATTCTATTCTCTTTTCCTCTGAATGTCAATCAATCTTAAGTAGTTGCACAACCTTTCATTGAAGATTCCATTCATTCCATCTATTAGTTTTGATATTTTGTGGGGTCCTTGGTGCTCTCTGAGCTCTGTTGTTTTCTTGCAAATGTTTCATTACCCAACTAGGTAACATCATCAGTGTTAGAAGAGAGAGGCGTTTCTTCTCATTTTAGATACTAGTGGCTTGCCATGTCAGTGCTGGTGGGAATGGTCTTGGTCAGTGGTCTTCAAACTTGGCTCTTTTATGACTTGTGGACTTCAACTCCCAGAATTCCTCAGCCAGCTTGCCTGACAGGAATTCTGGGAGTTGAAGTCCACAAGTCATAAAAGGGCCAGGTTTGAAGACCCCTGTTCTTGGTGGTTCGTTCATTAAGGTGTTGTTTACTGTTAGTTTGCATGGCTGTGTTGATGGTTCCTTGACTGGAGTATTGTTTACTTTTTGATTGTTCTTCGGGTGTTAATCTATATTCACCTGGGTGTTGATTGCTGCTGAAGAGGTATTTTGGTCTTTTTGTTTCCCTTTTGGCTTTTTGATTGCCTCTTAAAGTTATATATTTTGCTAAGCATTAGTGGCATATGATAAGATCAGCTCTGCTTTTGATCCTACATACTTTGATTCAAAGTATGATGCAACTCACTTAACAACCACCTTGCTTAACAACAGAAATTTTGCTCCCAGTTGTGGTTGTAAGTCAAGGACTAAATTGCATTGACTCCCAGTTCATTTCCAGTCCCCATTAAAAGGGCTGACATTGATATTAATAACCCTTGGAAATCACAGTTTCCAAAGAAGTGTTTCTTCTCCTACAATGAAATATTGATTGGCTTGTTTATTTATGGATTGCCCCATCTTGTCCATTCAATGGACTAATTGGGAAAATAAGAACCCATTATTCCTAATTGTCTATTAGATCAGAATGTACATTGCTCATGATATATGATTTGTGCAAATGACACAATTGCACACACAAATTAGCCCAGGATACAGAATAGAATACAGAATACAATATAACAGAGTTGGAAGGGACATTGTAGGTCATCTAGTCCAACCCCCTGCTCCAGCAGGAGACCCTATACCAGGGGTTGGCAACCTTAAACACTCAAAGTGCCACTTGGACTGGTTTCCCAGAGAAAAGAAAACACTGGGAGCCGCAAAACTTGTGCGTGCACGCGTGCGCATGAGGGGGGAGGGAGCTTGATTGAAGAGTTTAATTAAAAAGAAATAGAGGTTGCTCTGCATGAGCTCTCTCTCTCTCCCTCCCTCTCCCTCTCTTTGTCTTCCTCCCTCTCTCCCCCCCCCTTCTGTCTCTCCCTCTCTCCAATCTTCTGCTCTCCTGGCAAGCTGGCTTCACACTTTTCTCCGACAAGCTGACACACATTCTTATTGGGCTGGCTCTCTCCTGCCCTTGGTCTGCCAGTCCTCTTCCCCCACTCAGTGAGAGAGAGGGGGGGAGCACAAGTCTCTCCCTCCCTCCCTCCCTCCCTCTCTCTCTCTCTCTCTCTCTCTCTCTCTCTCTCTCCAAATGGCAGAGGACGCAGGAGAAGGCTCATGCAGCTCCGGAGCCGCACGTGGCCAACCTGTACCCTACACCATTTCTGTCAAGTGGCTGTTCTTAAAAACCTCCAGTGATGAAGCACCCACAACTTCTGAAGGCAAGCTGTTCCATTGGTTGATTGTTCTCATTGCCAGAAAATTTCTCCTTATTTCTAGGTTGAATCTCTCCTTGATTAATTTCCATCCATTGTTCTTTGTCTGGCCTTCGGGTGCTTTGGAAAATAGGTTGTCCCTCTCCTATCTGGGATAGCCCCTCAAATATTGGAACATTGTTATCATGTCACCCTGTGCAGACCATACCTAGAATACTGCATCCAATTTAGGTTACCACACTATATAAAAAAATTGGTGAGTCTCTAGAAAGAGTGCAGAGGCCTGGAGGCTACATATGAAGAATGGTTGCAAGAACTGGGCATATCTCCTCTCTTCACTAGATATGCCCAGTTCTTGCAACCATTCTTCATATGTAGCCTCCAGGCCTCTAATCATCTTTGTTGCTCTTCTCTGCACTCTTTCTAGAGACTCACCAATTTTTTTATATAGTGTGGTAACCTAAATTGGATGCAGTATTCTAGGTATGGTCTTACTAAGAGTGGTATTAATACCTCACATGATCTTGATTCAATCCTTCTGTTAATGCAGTTTAGGATTGCATTGGCTTTTTTGGCTGCTGCTGTACTCTGCTGGCTCATTTTTAACTGATTGTCCACCAGGACTCCCAAGATCCCTCTCACAGTTATTGCTATTAAACCAGGTTTCACCTAATCTGTACGTGTACTTTTGGTTATTCTTGCCTAAGTGTAAGACTTTACTTTTCGCTACTTTGAATTTCATTTTATTAGCTAGGGCCCAATGTTCAAGTCTGTCAAGATCCATCTGGATCTTGAGCCTATCATCTAGGGCAGGGGTCTTCAAACTTGGCCGTTTTATGACTTGTGGACTTCAACTCCCAGAATTCCTCAGCCAGCATGCCTGGCTGAGGAATTCTGGGCATTGAAGTCTTCTACAAGTCATAAAAGGGCCAAGTTTGAAGACTTCTGATCTAGGATGTTGGCTATTCCTGCCTGCTTGGTATCACCTGCAAATTTGATAATTTCCCCTTCTATTCCCTCATCTAAGTCATTTATGAAGATATTGAAGAGTACTGGGTCTAAGACAGAACTTTGTGGTACCCCACTGCTTACTTCCCTCCATATAGAACAGGAGTGTCAAACTGCTGGCCCGCGGGCCAGACATGTCATCCGGAAGCCGTGCCCACCCCATTGCCGGCAATAGCAAAGCCAGCCCGATATGTTGCACAACGTCAAGTGACATCGTGAGTTTGACATGTCTGATATAGATGTTGTAGCATTAAGGACTACTGTTGAGTATGGCTTGTCAGTCAATTACAAATCCATCTGGTGGTGATGCCATCTCTCCCATGTTTTTCTTGCTTACCAAGAAGTAGGTTGTGGCTTTACTTTGGCGAATGCCTTACTGAAGTCCAAGTATACTATGTCCAGAGCATTTCACTGGTCTACTAATTTAGTCACTTTGTCAAAAAATGAAATAAGATTGGTTTGGTATGATCTGTTTTTAACAAACCTGTGCTGGCTTCTAGTTATAACTTTATTTGTTTCTAGATGTTCATAGGTCTGTCTTTTGATTATTTTTTCCAGTATCTTCCCAGGCATTGATGTTAGGCTGATTGGTCTGTAGTTCCCTGGGTCTTCCTGTTGTTTTTTCCCCCTTTTTTGAAGATGGGAACCACATCAGCTCTTTTCCAATCCTCAGTAGTTCCCCAGTGCTCCAAGCCAAATAGCATCATTTCACAAATGATACAAATGCACCAGAATTTTATCCTCTTCTTAAACTCAAACTTAGTTCCATTCAATCTAAGTTTCATTGTTTCCTACTCATAGCTTGTGATTGTTGGTGGAGACTTACACCCTTCATTAAGTCTATGAGTCATATGAGTGAGCCTGGGGCAGCAGGGCTCTGTCAACTCCAGGAGTAAGTGGGAGCAGCAGTCAAGGAACAATATCTCTGCAATTACATCCACATATTTGGCTCAGCATTTTGACTGAATCCTGCCTGCAGTATGCCAACCCAGCCAACTGCAGCTTATTCAATAAGTAACGAGTAAAAATGTCTATGGAGATTCTCAGTCATCCAGATAATGGTTGTCCCAAAGCAGCTTTTTTCAAAAGGCAACTGGACCTCTTTGTTTTTCTTCGAAGATGTTTTGCTCCTCATCCAAGAAGTTCTTCAGCTCTGATCGGATGGTGGGGAATGGAAGGATTTATGCTCCTTGCAGACTGCTGGTCATTTGCATTCTTTTAGAGAATCCTTGAGGCCATTTGGAGGTTTTCTGTGTCCTCAAGGTCACCTGAGTAGTCCACACACATTTCCACTATTCAGATGACCCAGGGGATACAAAAACCCCTCCAAATGGCCTCAATGATTCTCTAAAAGAATGCAAATGACCAGCTGTCTGCAAGGAATATAAATCCTTCCATTCCCCACTATCCAGTCAGAGCCGAAGAAGCTTCTTGGCTGAGAAGCGAAACGCCTTCAAAGAAAAACAAGAAGGTCCAGTTGCCTCCTGAAAAAGCACTTTTGGGATAACGAGTAAGAAAATCACAGAGGAACGGGACTCAGAGGAAGAGTTTTTCCAAGCCTGTGTTTGCAAGCAATTCTAAACGGCGCTGCAACCTGAGTGCTGAGGATGGCGGTGGCGCCGGTTTTGATTCGGCGCCTGCTGCTCGCAGCGTAGGAGTTGTGCAGCAAATGCTCCCATTTCGCCAACTCCGCAGCTCGTTGGAGGCTGCTTTCTATAAGTCTCTTTCTCGTCCATGTGCTGCCTAATTGCTAACATTGGAGGGGAAGGGGGGGGGGTGATGGAGATCTCCCAGAAAGAAACACACAAAGCTTCGTTCTTAATGCCGAAGTTGCACGTAAACGCCTTTTTGTCAGCAAGTTCCCAGCAGGAGCGAGCAAAACTGACACAAAAGCGCCTGAAAGGCCCCCTTCCCCAAAGTGTGAGCTTGCGGCTTTTTTTTTTTTTTTTTTTTTTGCACAGCAACTCAAGCCACGTTACAGGATCCGAGGAAAAAGGGTTTTGTGGGAGCGGAGCCGGGCTGGCGGGGAGGGGAAAGGAAGGGAGGGGAGGGGAGGCGGCGGCTGTATACAGTACAATCGCTCGCGCCTTCACGTGACTCGCCGCCACTGAAAAGAGCTGTGCGGGAGCGAGAGGGCTTCTCCGCCGACTGCCCCCAAAGTC